GGGCGGGCGGCCATTGCGGCGCCACGCCCCCTGGCGGGCGGGCGGTGTTCCCGTGGGGAGGGGGCGGGACCAGGGCTGCACGTGCGTGCGGGGCGGGGCCCGGGGACAGAACTTTTTGGGGTGCTCAGCAAAGGAAGGGGGTCCCGTGTAGGTCCCCCCTGTCCCCCGCAGCTCTGCGTGATCGTGGAGGTCAAGCGAGTGACAGGGAGCCCCCCAGGACACCGCGTTTGCAGCTGGGGATGTCCTGCAGGGAGAGCAGAAAATGGAACTTGAGAGGTTTAAGTGACTTTGCCAAGCTGCCACTAAAGGAGACAGACGATTCATTGAGCTCCGCAAGATTTCCTCAGAGAAATGGGAAAGTTTTAATTGCGTTTTCAAGAGGTTCACGTCGTGGAGAAGTCCTGGAGCAGCTCCTCTACAGCACAGCACACCCACTGGAGCAGGCTACAGGGATCCTCCTCTCTTTTAGCACCAAAAGGACAGAAATCAGGAAAGCTTCACCAAAAAAAATGTAGTCATGAAAGAAAACAGCAGTGCCAGTGTTTGACAGAGCACTGAAGGACTGACACGATTTTTTGCTCCAGGTAATGAAATTCTTCAGTCCCCGCTGCTGGCTAACACAGGGGTGGGCAACAGCAGCTCGTATTGTTCATACTGTGAAATTTACTCAAAGAATAAAAAGCATTTTCTTTGTGCTCCCTCCATTTTTATTCATTTATTAAACCAAATTATGGCCAGAAGAAACCCCAGCTTTCAGCATCAGGGAGGGAAGGCACTGCTGCAGCACACACCAGCACTGAGCACCATCCTTGGACTTGCTCCTGTCCTCCACTTGCAAAGCTGCAGTAATCAGGAAAAAAACAAACAGGAAAGCAAGGATTCATCAATATTAGTCAATCTTTCTCCGCCTTTCATTAAGGGTAAGATTGTAATTTCTTTCTGCAAACTTGTTTGGAAAAGTATCAGGACAAATAATTAGAGAAGAAGTTAAAAAGATGAAGGTGAATTAAAGAAATGAAGTGTTGTCCCTGCAGAGGACTTTCATCTGGGCAGTCCATATAGATCTGTTAAATCAGCTGCATTTTGATACTTTGTCCACTCTTTTCCTCTGATTCCCATAAATATTTTAACAAACAAAACAGTGGCTACCAAGAGTTTAAAGTTGTGAGTTTATTGCATATGTAACAAAAATGAACATGACCTCCTGGGTCCAGCCTACTATACAATCACTGTTTATTCCAGCTGGTTCCATAACCACATTAAATAGAACTAGTATTTCTTTAAATACTTTGATTTAGACATAAAATGAAACATTAGTGTACAACTTCCACAAAATAAATCTGCAATAAAAACAGTGGGAAGAATAACAAGGATAGCAGCAATACTTAAACATGACATTACAAAATAATAAATTAAAAAAATACATTATAAAGTGGTTGAGGAACAACAACAACAACAACAACAAAAAAAAAAATTAACAGATTAAAACCAGATCCATACTGTGTTTCTGGGAATTTGCTGTGCCACACGGCCCCAAACCTGGGCACTGGCTCCAGAGGGCCCAGTGGCTGGATCAGTAATTTACAAAATCTGTTGGATTTTACAACCACCTCGACTTGAACTGAGGACAAACTGCTGAGCGAGCGCCGATCGCACTGTCTGGAGCTTCGAGCAGCCTTTTCAGAGCAGGGTCTTGTCTAACATAATGCCCAAGTGAACACTCACACCCATCCAACAGTCTCGTTTCTTCCTGCTGGAACACACGAGCAGAGTGGTGGTTTCCTACATCCCTGAGCGTAGAGTAGAGGCTGAGGAGTAGTTATCAGGGCACTGCTGATGGAGCAGCTGCGGGGTTTGCCGTGGGACAGGAACGACAGACACGCTGTACCTTGTATTTCCTTCGGGTCAGATCCAAGAGTATCCGCGCACAAGGTGGAACGTGGAATGACAGAATGAACACGGGACTCGATGGGATTCTTTGGGCAAGTTTGAGAAGTAACAACCAAGTTCAAGTGCTGGCAGACCGAGTGGGAATGGACACACAAATTCACACAGCTGAGGTTATCCCAGACCTCCGAGAGCCACTGGCTCTAGCCATCCTAACTCCTGTTGGCATTTTGTCCTTCCCTGGCCTTGGAACCGGGCACAGGAAGAACAGGCCATGGCTCCGAAGCCGTTCTGCCTCGCTTCTCGCTGCTCCTCCATCCACCCAACCTGCTTTAAGGCCTGCCTCAAATGCATGTACAGAACAAGACAAAAATTGTCTTCGTCATCACTGAAGTGGCACAAAATTGCAAAGACAACACGATGGGAGAGGTGGTGAAGCTGTTGAAAAGAGAACTGAAATAATTTAAAAGACAGTGAGTGCCCTATTCTCGTTACTGTCAGCACAGAGGAGGTACCTTGACAAGGGCTTTTAAATACAGCAAAAAACAGACGGACTTTTCGAAACAACAATCCTTGCCTATTCTTATTTTGTGCATTCAATAAAACACTGACCTAGCAAAGACATTAGGAACTATCTTATGTCAACTGGGTCGTTGACATAAAGCTACTTGACCTATAGATCTCCAAATCAGGGGCCTTTCCCTTCACCTCACTTGGTTTGTACTGAGCCAGTTGTGCTGCAGGTGTGACAGGATTTTTATTAAGGGGGTGCTTTAGTATCTGGGTTTGGGGGGGTTTTTTTACACATTTTTTAGTGAAAAATCCACATGGGACTGCATGCAAAGCTTTTGGGCAATAATCCATTTTGCATTTTTCCTATCTGACTGGTTTATTGCACATTAAAACGTACTGAAAGGATTAAATATACTTTATGAACAGGTTTGACTTCAAAGCAATTTGGAAAATCCAGGGTTGTGGGGACTCTGCTACTCAGCCTGGGACCATAGGGATGCTGTCTGCTAACAGCTACACATCCCAACAACCAGAACTGCAAAAAGTGGTCTCCAAGTGCCAAAAGATCCTACAGAACATGGGGCTGAATATGCCTCTCCTGTACAGTCCTGCAGGATGAGCATCTTTAGCCACCCTGTGCAAATCTCACAATATGGTACAATTTTACACCTCCAATGCGACTCCTGACAACAAATCACAAGAATTATGGTCAATGGCAAAAAGAAAACCACAAACAAACAAAACAGAGAAAGATGCCAGGGTTTTGACAAGTGTCTACTTTCTGTCCTAACACAGTTTAAAGCTATTACCAAATTCAATTTTAAAAAAAGACAAAATAGAAGTATTCTAGTAGACATCTCCTAAGGACAGGCTCTTGCCCACAGCTGAATTTCAATGCACTATACCATAAATTTAACATCTGTTAATTGTTTCAGTCATGAATCTAAAAATCAAGCTTGCCAAAGAAAAAAACTCCTTGTCTTGGTTTGAAAAGACAGGTGTCTGGTAAGGAAGCCAGAAATCTCCCTTGAAATGGAAAAAAATGCAAACCACTCCCCCACCCCGGAATTATTATAACCTATGAATCAAGGTGGTCTTGGGCAAAGATATGGGAATAGCACTAACAGTTATTTACTAAGGAAATTAAAATAAAAATGGAGTAGTAAAAAAAAAAAGAAAAACAACCCACTGACAGAGTCAGAATAGAACCTGACACCCTGCTGGTCAGGGTGCTGGTAGCAATTTGATTAAATGGTGGCTGCTGTCCTCCTGGGGTGACAGATGAGGTTCTGTTGAAGCAGTGACACTGTAGAAGGGTGTAGCTTTCCTCTGAAGGTCCAGTGGTGGTGTTGATGGGTCTGGTCTTGCTCTGGGAATCCAGTGGAGAAAGGCTGCCTGCGGTGTTCCCAGTCTCAGATTATATCCAGGTAGGAATGCTTGGCTCCTCCCCCTGGAGCCAAGACCACTGGACCTTCAGAGGAAGACCAGACCCCTTTACAGGATCACTCCTTTATCAGAACCACATCTATCACTTGAAGAGGACTGCAGTCACCATTTAACTGGACTGCCACCACTCCCCTGACCAACAGCGTGTCCAGTCCCATCCTGACTCTGTCAGTTTAAGCCAGTGTTTCTGTATTATTGTTATATTCACTAGTACTATATGTACTAGTAAAGAACTATTATTCCTGTTTCTTATATCTTTGCCTGAAAGCCCCTAAATTTAAAATTATAATAATTTGGAGGGAAGGGGCTTACATTTTCCATCACAAGAGAGGCTCCTGCCTTCCTTAGCAGACACCTGTCCTTCAAACCAAGACCTTCAGCTATTGGATTTGCTTTACCCCTGTGTTAGAGAAGAAACCTTTCAATATTAGTTTCAGTTATTGGAAAAGAAAACCTTATGCAGCTCTCTGGAGAAATTTTCATCCTTACAGAACTGAAGTAATAAATTCTTCCAATAGCTTTCTGTAACATTTAGAATGCTTTCACTATATAGTCTCCCTTTTACCTCAATCTCCAAATAAACCTTTCCTAAGGCCAAAAAATTTGAAGCAGGAGATTGCTTTGTTAACTTGACTTTTAGTGATTTCCATGTGAGTCTTAGAATTTAAAGTCACACAAATACATCTTGGGTAAAACAGTGGCACAGAAATCACAGCTTTGGAACTGAATGGATTTTTATCCTCTGTCTCCTCCTCACAAGGCTTCTCTGCAAGGTACTTACATCTGAACAAACTATGGAAAATAATTCTGCAGGAGGAAAGAATTGTTTTCACGTGCAAAACAATTAGATTTCAGCCAAGACAACCAAAAAGAAATCATACAATACCGTTTGAGCTGCCCCAGATTCCTTCACTTTTCTCAAGGTGAGCCACAGCTTCCACTGGGAGCTTCCTGCTAAGGCAGAACTTGGATTTCTTTACCTTTCAGTTAAGTGTTCATATGGAGGTATTTTCTGCTAGAAGTTTACTTTTTAAACAGATGTTTAAAATGTGCAATGCAAATTCTGGTGCCAGTCAGACACTCTGCACCTGCTGGACTCTACAAAGGCTCAAGCTTGATTTAAGACAGACTAACCAGGTGCACCTATCAGTTGCAGGTCCTCAGCAAATTAAGCTCATTCTCAAATGCACTTTGATTCTCCTATGAAACAAGCCCCACAGGTCGCTGACCCTATCACAATATGTGTTACCAATCTAGCAGAATATCCTGTGTAACCAAAGCCAAATGCTGAACTTGGCTGCATTTCATTTTGGGGGGATGGAAGAAGAGGGAAGGGGTTATTGTAACAAAAGGGAGAAAATAGAGTTGGGAACCACCAAGAAAAGGCCCGACCCTCCCCCCCTAATCCACCAGCGGCAGAAGGGAAACAGCCCCATCTCTAAGTTGTCAGAGTTCAGATGTTTCAGACAGCTTAGCAGGAAGTTCACAGCAAGCTTCTTCTAGCTCTTCATTTGGTGGTCCATGAGTTAGCATCTGTTTCCTTTGGTTGCTTTTTCATTCCACAGCAAACCCACACGTCTCTTCCACAGCTGTCAACAGCTTCTCATAAAGCTTCTCGTATGACTCATAAGGCGGAATGTCGATCCGGTTAAAGCTGCAGGGAAAGTAACAAAACATCAATGGATCTTAAGTGCTTATTGGGGGAAAAATGTAAAGAAGCTACATATAGATAGAAATTGTAAAAACTCTCAGCTGCCTCAGTGGCCAAAGGAGACAAGACAAAAAACAACTATTTCTACAGCAGGAATGCACAGCTTAATAGGGCAGTGTTTGGGATGAGGAGGAAGAGGCAGATGCAGGAGACTTGCAAGAAAAAGCAACACATCAGGCAGGCCCACTCCCCGCCCTGCCTGCAGACAGTCTGCTGCTGCTGACACCATTTCCTGCCTCTGATGGAGTGAGATTTCCGTGCAAGGGCTCAGGCTGTGCCTATACTGCACCAACAGCACGAGCTTCCAACATTCGACATCCGACAACACTTCTTTGTAATGAAGAAATAAAGAAATAAACTTACAAACGTCTCACTACCCAGAATAATCACCTCTGGAATAAATGAAAACCACAGACAGTATAGGAGACAAATCAAGCTTTAAGAAAAGCAAATTATTTTGCTGGCTGCAGAGTACAGATAGATCCAAGCTAACAGAGCACACGTGGAGTCATGAATGTGTATCACATGCCTAACCCCTGCCCAGGACAAACAGAAATGACTCCTTTAAATCAAGACAAAGGGAGAGGAAGCAGGGTGTTTCCATCTTACCAAGTGTGGGCTTTTGGAAGGTTGTCTGTGTTTGCATCTATTAAATGGATGGTAAACAGTCTGGGTCCTGCAGCGCCTGTAGAACCTTAGACAGACATTCTAGTTAATGCACTTCAACAAAGCATCATTCACACACACGCATTTTGCTGTGTATAAAAAGGCAAGAGAGGAAATTACAGTTCCAGCTGCAAGCCTAAGTATGTCCTAGGCTAAATCTGTAGAGATATTTGCAGCTGATGAAGGGATGGCAGAAGAGATAGGGCTGTTTGTGACAAGCATTTTACAGACTGGCATTTTGGAAAGCTGCTAAATTTGATATTAATGAAGCTACACTGTCAAAAATGAAAATACTTAAGTGCAGGAAGGTTTTCCTTGTAAAACAGAGCTAGTATTTTAATTTTCAACATCAATTTACCGTCAGCTAATAAATGGAGTGTGACCAGGAGATCACAACAGCCAAGGACACTGCCACATTTTTTATAAAAACCTACGATTTTCAGGAATTTGCTTTAAAGCTCAGTCAGCCATATATCCCCGTGTATATTTGCATGGAATGATTTGAACCTCAGAGCACAGAGCTGTAAGAGACTGACGAGCCACAATTGGCAGCAGTCAAAGCACTGCACAGTAACAGATTTACCAACTTCCATCACTATCAGCAACAGCCAAAGTGCTCAGCAGCAGCTGAGCTGCTGACAAATATAAAACTGTTCTCAGGCTCTAAAGTTTGCAAGTGCTTGACTTATCCAGTAATATGCTGATATTTTACAAGGGGTGTGTAAATACCACACCACTTTTATCTCTCTCCAACCACAGATTAACTCAGCCGCCACATCAGTCACCTTGTAAAGCCTTGAAACCTTGAAGTGGGACACGCGTCGAGCCCGTCACAAACTGCAGCAGCCTTGCCCTTCTTTCCTCATCAAACGTTTCCACCGCTTGCCAGAACCACTTGACGATGTTGCTGTCAGCCATGCAGTGCTTTAGGCGGGTGTTGGACTTCCAGTCATTCAGGTCTATCTTATCCAGGCCTCCTATGATCAGCTGTTAAAAGATTAGGAAATGCTTTAAAGTCCAGAGTAATTTCAGGTTTGCTGTTACAAAAACACATCCAGCCACGTCAAGAAGCCTGGCATTGTTTAGGTGCTTCACCCATTTTTTTGGTGCAAGGTAACACTCCAGACCAGTACAGAACTGGCAGTAAATATCTCGTTTGACTGCAGTGAAACTAACCCCAAGCAGTGCTTTACCAGCATTAGAAGCCCATGCAAGACTTGCTTTATTAAATGTGTGCTCCTGGAAGGTACAGCCTGTCTTTATGAGGGCACAGCACTGATTTGGAGTAAGGCTGTGGCACAGCATCACTGTCCTGCTGCAGGACTGTCCTAGAGGTGCCAATGCCAGCGACAATCCTGCTCAGCTTATGGGAACATCTGAGTTGCTTTGTTGTTCTACAACAAACTACAGAAAATTTTCATCTGCTTTTTGACCCCATTTGTGAGAATCTCTGACACACACCTGACATACCACTTCAATCTATTTTCCAGAGTTATTTTCCAACTAGGTTGCAAAATACTGTATAAGAAGTTGCTGCTGGCCATGCATTTAACCACCTCCTCTGGCAACAATAAATAAATGTCACAGAGCAAACTTCACCCCTCAAAACAAAATGTGTGTCGTATTTTATATTTCCCATAATATTCCACAGTAAGGATCCAATTGCTGAGACCTGCTCTTTAGCAGCTGCCTTGTTGTGCCACCAAGAGAGCACCCACTTGTACCTGCTCACATCATCAGGTGAGTTGGGACTCTTCTGACATGGAGAGTATTGAAATATTTAATGGATTTTTAATCTACCTTTTTAAGCAAATGGAATGCAAGAACTCTGTGGAATTAACCAAAATGCATGACTGACTAGCACAAAGCTCATAGTTTCTATACCACAAATGATGAATATTCCCCAGGTTGTCTTATTTTTTCTAGGAAGCAAAACCAGAGGAAAAATTACTGTAACAGGAACTAGTTTAAGAAATAGCTTTCTGCACATCAGGATTTGGTAAGAAGACAAATTAATTTCCTTTCCATATGCTCAACTCTTATATTTCTGTAAACCAATTTCTGTGTGCAAGCAGAAACATCCATGTGTGAAAAGTTATTGGACAAAACAGTTTCTGGGGTAAATAACATGCCTGGTCTTGCCAAAAATTCCTCAGACTTGCAGTGTTTCCTCATTCTCAGACTACCTGCCTTGAGCATTAGTCCTTGGATAGACACCATGGTGCATTTGTCTTTTCCTGTTTAAGTAGCCCTCTCAATAATATCAACCCAAAGAATGTCTAGAATAAACCTAAAAGGTTTTGGTTAAATAAATACTCAGCTTTCTGGTACATAAAATGGAATAAGTTTTGTGTTTTGTTTGTTTTGCTTGCTTTTTGTTTTTTAAATCAGTGCTTGACTGTGGATCAAACAAATTACAGAACAATTATCTACGTGGATAAAACATACCTCAAGTTCCTTCTGGTCAAAAGGCTTGAGAAGATGTTGAGGAATAAGTTCATTAAAGCCTTTCTGCAGAGCCAGGAACTGTGCCTCTATTCCTCTCATGAACCGCCAGTTCACATACAATCTAGGGGAGGAAGGAAAAAGTCAGGGGTGATGAGATGGACAGCACTGGGATTTTTACAGCAGACTTGGAAAATGCTCATTTTACAGAGGACCTTGTTTTAACTTTGTATTATGAAAGAAGTGCTTATCCATTCTTTTTCCATCAACAATTAACTATTGCACCATCCACGAAAAAGACAAAGTACCATTCAGAACTTCATCTTCCCAGGTCTCCCAGTGAAAACATTCATGTCATTTAACACTCAGGAGTTCCCACCCAAAATACTTACTTTCTGTATTTCACTATATACAAAAGTTCTGTTTACTACCCTCTTCCCACTACATTTGCAGGACATATTTCTGTTTGCAATACCTGACATATTCCTTCTTGTTCTCTTCTGTCACTGGAATATTCCTGCCATTTGGTTTGAGTTCATGCTGTAAAATCCTCCCAAAGGCATTGTGCTCCACACAGAATGTATGATCCAAGACTGGTGTGATATCATTCTCTCTGCCAATGGACAGAGGGTAAACTCAGTATTTTTGGCATTTTGGTAACTCCCAGTGGTGATGCTGACAGTTATTTGAACACCTAGGTAGTCTTCAGGCAAAACCTTAGTTACCACCTGCATTTCACACACTAGAGGAATATTGCCACCATCACAAATTTCTGTATGATTTAGTGCATGTTGAAGAGCCTGATCAGATATGGGATATTCATCTAATTCTAATGGAACTCAGGATACTGGATAAAACCCTATATACAGAAATGCACACACACATACATATACACCCAGCAAGAATCTGATCTGCTGTCATGTATCTGTGAAGCACAGATGAGATCATACATAGAGAACTTCATCATCAGTAACTTCTTTTAATACAAAATTCAAAACAGCATTTAGGAAAAGAAATTGAGATAATGCAAAGCAGTTCCAAGGAGTCCCAAAGCTACACTGAATGCTGGATCTTGTTCTGTAAGCATACAGAAGCCCAAATTACTTCCATTTATTTTCATTTTAATCAGAGTTGGCTTTCTTTTGAAGAAGGCTCTACTTCCCCTCAGACCTCTGTCCTGTGTTTGGATTTTGATACTATGATATTCTACCATATCCACGCAAACTTTAATGATTTAGTATCTAGTTTATTACAAGGAGAGTTTGCAATGAGAACTTTTCCTCAAGTACCTTTGATATATTAAGAATAGTTTAATGCCTTTGTACAGACTGCCACCATAAAAAGATTTTTGCAAACTCTTTGTCTAAAGCATCTCACTATTGCCAACAAACTCTACCCCATTTTCTCTGCAGTGAGACGATTGCTAAATTCAGTACTTACAAGATCCAGACTAAACTTTTGTGTAATTCTGGGTCAACAGATTCCAGATCGGAGAGCTGGATAGGCTTCCCCAGCAGCTGTTTGTAAAAGGGAACTGTGAACCCCCCGTTGATATAGTGTCCATGGAACACAGCCAAACCCATTATCCGACCAACAAAATGGAAATAAGACAAATGGTCCTGCAGGGAGAGAGGAGAATCAGGCTTGGGAAGACACTGACATCTTGTGGCACCCTCGGTGGTTCATTCAGCATGAGTTACCTGCAGCCCTCTGGGTAAGAGCAGCCACCACTTTTCCTCACAACATAACCAAAACCAAAGCATTTAATGATTAAAAACCTCAAGCAAGTCTCTGGGCATTACCTGATTAATAAACTGGATTGAAGTCTCTAGACCTCTCAAAGGGAAAAACTTGGAAAGAGAAAATCCCTGTGAAACCTCCAAAATCCAAAAAGATGAGGATTCTGAACAAGTTAGTTTATTCTTTGTTTAACCATCCAAATGTATCTACTCTTGAGGAAGCAGTGTGCTTGTTTCCTTCATTTCTTTCATGTTCCTTTTAAACTAACTTTTGAAAGCTGAGGTGTAAGTCCTATGGTTGACATTCTTCCAATCCACCTCCCTCATCTTCCAGTGCAAATGTCAGGAAATGTCATGTCAGGGAGAATTCCCTCTACTAATACAGAACTGCTGCTCCTTTTAGGGTCTGCATCATTACAAATCCTTCAGTAAGAGAAAAAGCAAGCACAGGAGCGTAGTGAGAAAGGTCAAGCAAGGGATACATCCCTAAAAGTCATGGGGTGGCACTGCTGGGATTGTAATGCTGTGTGCACAACCACCTGTGCTCACAGTGAAGATGAATTTCATCTGTCTTGTCTTCTCAGAGTCACTCTGCAAACCAATCAGTACTGAGCAGCCTCAAAGAAATCAGATATCTGTCAAAGGCTATAATGCTTTTAATTTCTGAACAAAACCCCTCTGCTTCTTATTGTATAAATATAAGACATTAACACATTCTTATTCCTATTTACACTGCAGTTTAGACTCTTCTTGTAGAAGAAGAGCTGTAAGAAATGCAGAGGACATCTTTTAAAGTCAGAATATTGCTGAGAAATTAATACTTACAGGATTGATAGAAGAGTCTGGATTGATTTGCAGCATATAAATATTATCTGTGGAGTATTGGAAGAGTCCATAGTAGGGATTCAACATTTCATGGCACAGTAAATACAACCACTCTCTGCCAAAAAAAAACAAAACAACAACCCAACAGATTTAGAAGAGTGCAATTTGCACTTAAGTTTTAGACAAAACAATTATTGTGATTGATCAGAGAATGCTATTTCAAAATCATCACCTTGTGCTGCCCTCCATTTGTAGACCAAAAGGATGTGAATAAAACCCCACAATGTCCTACTGCACTCAGGACAGACTTGGTTTAGTTTAGAAGCACTGAAGGGATTAACATCAATTAGAGAAGCTATAGCAAGCTGTTAGACAATGCCATCAACTAATTGAATCTGAACAAGCCACGCCTCCAAAAAATCCTGCCTTTGTACAGAGTTCAGCTATTTGGAGCCAATGAGATCTGCTTCTCTGCAACCTGTACAGTATAAGGAAATATTAAAAAAATCTGTTGATTACAATCAGTTCAATCGCTGGGGATCTTTAGAAAAGCTGTTTTTCTGCCAGCTTGGTGACTGCTTTCAGCAGAGGCCAGAAGGGACAGAGACCAAATGCATTAAAAGGAGGGGTTGGGTAAATCCACTCACCTCAATAACATACAAGGACAGAAGCAGAACTAAAGCTATTTCTGACCTTCCAAGTCACCATGACAAATACCCCTTTGTTGTTAAATTTGGACAGCCTTCTCAGGTCCAAAATATTCAGAGAGAGCTATCAATTGTAATGCTTAGAAGTGGAGCTGTACTGATCAGGAAGAGTCAGTTGCAACTAATGGGCAATTATGAAAGGCATCAGGGCAACAGGATGTCAACAGTGGAGACACCCAAGGTTGCCTAGGGTAAGGCAGCTCAGAATGTTCCAGCTTCTTTCCTTTGTCCAGGGATTGATCACTGAAAGACACCTAAGTGGGCATCTTTTGTGGATTTGAGAAATTTCTCAGTGAATTTACACAATTCTGAGCCACTACAAAGGTGAGCGTTTTTTTCAGTGATGCTAAATCAGCTTCTGAATTTCAGATCTGATGTGACCCACAGGGAATTACTGTCATTTTTAAGAGGGAGGCAAGTCCTTGCTGAAATTTTAGCTTTTGTTTAGCATTAGTTCATCTCCACTCCTGCTCCAACAGATCAGAGAACTCTCCTGAATGCGGCTGAGACATAACAAAAAGGAACCCCTACCCTCCTGCAATCCATTTGTGGGAAATCAGAGAGGTGTGTTTTACAAAACCATTCCTGTGATCTGGATCTGACTTCAGGGTCTATACACTCCCTGAGAGACCTCACAATTTGAGCTGATCACACTTTCATAACTTGCAGTAGGACAACTCTTAAATCGCAAGCTTTCACTTTCCAACCTACCATATAAAGAGTGAAGCCACAGACACTGTCTATAAATTAACATATACCATTAACAGGTAACTTGAAATGGGATTGTATCAACCATGGGACACTTAAAGGGTAACTTAATAGTTAAAAGGTGTCAGAAAACCCCCAAAATCTCACCTTGCTACTCCTCCATAGTCCAGGCCTTCCTCTCCTCGGAATTTCACCATAAGCCTCTTTTTCAAGTCCTTTGGCCTCATCTTCATTATCTGACGATAGGATTCCTGTATGTGCATTTGTACAATTAGCTGTTTTATTTCTTTCCTATAATTAAGTCTATTAAGATTTCTCTAATACCATGATTAAGAGTTCTGCATTTCTGTAATACATAGATTGTTAGTGAACTACAGAAAACATTACTCTGTTCCAGTGCTAATCTGAAGCAAATTTCAATGACAACTCCATAATGTGGTGGGTGCTTGTGAAGCAAAGTTGTTATAATCACTGATCAGTTTTACTTCTCAGCGACAAAAGCTGCTGTTAGCAGTAAAAAAATATCAATCAAATAATATCAATCAAATACCTCAAATATTTCCTCTCTGGATACTTCAATGCGACAGTGACCAGCCTGAGGTTGCTGAAGAGAGAGCTCATGTCTAAGAACTTTTAACTTTTGTACCAAGTCTCTTTCATATCTCTGTGCAGGCAACTCCTCACCCTCTTCCAATGATCCCTCATTTGGAGCTGGTAGAGGCTGCTGGCTGGGCTCTTTTAGCTGGCATTGATGGCTTGGAGAAAAAAAGGACAATATTTATTCTGGACACATAAGAATCAGGAATATGTAAAACAATCATGGAAGAAATTACTAAGCTTCTGTCTATAAAAGAAACATGGAGTGAAATGTGTATTCAGCTGGATACTTCTGTACCATCATTACACTAAATTCAGGGATGTAAGGAACACAGATATTTAGAGTTTCAGCATTTTTGAACTGTTTTTAACATGGCAAAGCACTGTGGAAGGCTCTGGAGCATGATCACTGATTGCTAACTAAGCAGTAATTAAAGTTTGTGAGGTATTTTCCCACACAGAGAGAACTTTCAAGAGTGCAACATGGAAAGAGAACTCTTATGGAGCAAACAACAGTTTTATAAAGGGAACTGTCTAACAACTGCAAGTGATATTATTCCAGCTCCATGCAAAACATGGCTGGGGACTCATGACACAGTAAAAAGCCTGCATCTATGGCTGTTAGAAGAGAAAGATATACTTGTCCCAAATAGTTGCAGCTTCATACACTCAACTATCCTTATCCATCAGTGCTTTATTTGGGTTGTAGAGCAATTATTTTTTAGATACAGAGATTCCCTGGCTGGCTTCGAGCACAGGAAAAAATCTGGTCTTGGGCACAAGCAGCACTGCCAGGCTGCTTCCAGGGTCAGTTCCACAACAGTTCAGCTGCCTTTCCATGATGCAGAGCTTGAGCTTACTAAATCCTGCTAAACCCAAACTGGCTGTGCACAGCACCCTTTGACCAGATTCCAGCTGGCTTTATACTCCCATTGTCTGGAACTCAAGGGAGCACTGAAGTTAGTCCAGATCCAGAACAGCCAGCACAGAAATGGAAATGCTCATCCAGACAGACATGAGCTGACTGCTGGGGATCCCTTGGCAAACTCTCTACCCCACACCCCAGCTATTCCAGAACTGTGCAGAGCAGAGTAAAAACCCTTCTGAAGAGTCTCAGCAAAAAACTTAGATAAAAGCAGCACTGAGAACCAATGCTTGGAGCCTGACTACAGCACTGGCTGCATCTGTTCCCCAATTATCATTCAAGGTTTCAGCCCCACATGACTCCCAGGAATTCCAGACTGACAGGAATTATTTATCAGGCAAAGCTCTTACTTCATGATGTGATGTAGTCGTGGATCTGTGAATTGTGTGGTTCTGTTGTTATGATCTACAAAATATATTCTTCCTGAAACTGTACTTCTGACTTCCCAACCTGGAGGCAAAGGTCCCAGTTCATCACAATTCACACTGTTAAGGTCTCTAGAGTGAAAAACAAACAAGATGTTAATGCACATCTGAAGTTAAGCAACCAAATACTGAGATCACTTAAAAAAGATTAAAATCACCTCTTTAATTAGGTTAAGGTTAGAATCCTGACTATTTGACTGAAAAACCACTGAGAGTAAGGCTGTAGCAACACATTTACTCACTCCTTTCATCCTGGATAAATTTCAGGTATCACTACGTGCTGCTAAAGGCAGTCACTCATTTCCAGGCAGTGTCTGAATTCAATACACAGAATCTATTTTCACTTAAAAAGATTGAAAATACCCTAAGGCTCCAGCCACCTAACTGAGGAAAACATCAACAGTGTGTCAAGAAAAGGAAGGAAGGAAACCTGAAGATTATTTACAGGCAGAAAACCTATTGTTAAGTAAAGTTTTCTTTAGACAGCTGGCATGGATTCAGGGTTGAAGACACCACTCTATGCAATTCCTCACCTAAATCTAACTAAGCAACATTTGTACAAATGAGTTAATTGAGAGGCTTTAGAAAGGTAGAAATACTTTGTACACTGAAGGTGCCTTAGTGTCACACTGAGTATAAGCCAAGGGGCCACACAGACAGACAAGCCCTTGTTAGGCTCCTTAAAGGAGATTATGGTTGGAACCATTTGCTGTGATCAGCTGTGCATCTCAAAGTCCTGCAGAGATCTGATCACAGCAAGTTTTAACCTCCATCTCTGCCTCATGCCAAGGTTAGGTTTCTGCAACACAAGCTGATAGCATGAAAGTCACCTTTAACTAAAAGAGGTGTGACCTGTGACTCACAAGACACTGCTGTGTCCACCTCCATTGCTGCCCCTGAAACCCTGGCTCAAGGATTTGGGGAGAGGAACAGCAGCACCTTTCATTAGGGTGAGCAGCATCACTTGAAGAAGACACAAGGCTTTGGGCACACAAGCCTGACATGGCTGACACAAATGATCAACCACTGTCATTTCTTCTTTCAGCAATACCAGCTAATCTAAAATCAGCTATTTTCTCTCTCTCTCAGCTTTATTTTTCATTTCCTTCTATACACTGAGCTTTTATCACCACTTTTGCCTGCACTACTTTGTATCATTTTCTAATATCCTGTACCACATTCCTCTATTATCCAGGCAGTGCTGCAGCTGAGAGTTACAAACTTCAGTCTGAATCTGGTGTGCAGGTGGCCCATGAAACAGCCCAGATTCAGAGCTACTCAGGAAGAGCACCAGACCTTACTCACAAAGACCTGGATTAACTGCAGGTTAAGGTATAAAGAGGCTTTACTAAATTAATCATGTGAAGGATTCAAATTTTCTAGCTGCAGATAACTGGCCTAAAGCATAAAAAACCTCAAACCATTTCAAGTTTAAAGATAATAAGTAATCTCTCCTTCAGTTATACACAAGTGAGCACAAATAAAACAAAAGTTACAAGTTGAATATTCAAGAAACAATTATTTTAAGAAAGAGGTCTGTTTTTTTTTCAATTTGCAGTCCAAACTGTTTCTGTACGAAAAAAATGTAGGTAAAATTCAGACATTTGTAGCTTCACCAGAAATAGCCACATCAACATTTTAGGAAGAATTTGTCAAACAGGAATTCCTGAAGGGCTACATATATTTTTGCTTTTTGTTTTACATGATTCAGAAGTAAATAATTCTTTCAAAAAGAGTAATCCTTAATATTTGATTTAAAGGTAACTAGAAACATCCCAAATTATTCCTCTGCTGGGAGCTCTCCCTTTAAATTCAGACAGGCCATTTCATAAATTTTTTGCTTTTAAAATCCAGCATCCTGCCACACAAATACACACCAAACCCCCCTGACTTTTAACTATAAATATTTTAACTATAAATACATACCTCGGTATCCTTGGGTCATGCCACGTGCTCACTCCAGTCTGTGTGTGCAAAAAATAAACCTGTCCCTGTACCGTTGTCCTTTGCTCTATAAAACAGGAAGAGTATTCTAAATTACAAATCTTAAAAAAAAATTCCAAATTTGAAGTTTGAAGACATTAGGATATTTTCCTCCTAGGAGAAAGTACAGAAGCTATCACACTGATCTTTTGCAGCATGGACTGCTTTGTCCTTGACAAATTTACTCTGACTACACATTTCAACATTCTTTTGAAACTCACAGATCCATGCACCAGCATATTTTAGTTTGTATTTTTATTGTTAGATTTTGAGACAATCTAAACCCTCAAACTAGATCTCTTTACTCCTAGATTTGGTGTGCTCTTTTCTGAGGTTTAAATTCTCTTTAATCTCATCCTCCCTAATCTTCTGTACTATTTGGTTTCTTTGTTGCTTTTATATATTTTCCTGATCCTTTCTCAAATGTGGGCTCAAACCTACACAACATGCCAAGGGGGAAGGAAAAAATAGCATTACTGCTCCAGTTTAAAGAGCTCTTTACATTCTCCCTAGATACACAGCCAGGATTAGCAGTGAATTTTCTGTAACAGCACCATACCACAACCTCATGTTTAATTTACCATCAACCCCTCAGTGTATCCTGGCGTAGCCAACTGCTAATTAGCCAATCTCAAACTCCCATCTGCACTTAGTTCCTTTTCCAAAACGCAGAATGAGATGCACGTGGACGCTGCTTGTTCCAGCAGGCAAAACACCTCGATGTATTAAAAGCAGAGAAATTTTTTGGTGACGTCTTTGGATAAACGAAACCCTTTCAGTTTTGCAGCTGTGGGACACTCACCGTAGCCTTCAGGTAGCTCAGGTGACTGGTGGCCATGGGGCCTGTTCTGAGGTGTCTGGACGTGAGCTCTGACCTCGGGGGTGCGGAGCCGCTGGGCCTGGAGCCTCTGGTCCTGGCTGGGAGACTCCAGGAAGCGGCAGCCGCCTCCTCCTGCCGCTCCCGTCGTGTCCGTGTACGGGGCTGGCTCCTCCATGAAGCAGCTCAGCGGCCTCCCCGGCCCCGAGTCTTCATAAACCGTTCTGAAAATGGGGAAACTTCAAGAGTTTCCATCACAAGAGAAGTGAATGCAGAAATAACTGTTTCTCTCTCCCCACAACTTCAGCTAGTGCAACCTTTAACCCAAGAGGTGGCGTTTTCTTAATGTTTCTATATACAAATTTCTCAGCAGTGGTAACAAAAAACAAATCAATTACCAATTGTAGCTTAATAACCTTACTGCCTGACATATATTCCCAGAAAATATAGTAGTCACATTGATACTTAAGTTTCTAATGTTAGTTACAGTCTTTCCACACATAAACCATTTGTCTAATTAAGTGCAAAGAAAACAATCCTTACCCTTCATTCTCCAAAAGCCCTCTGCAGTCTACTACAGAACCTCCTGTGCCTATTCTGTCCCGTGTCTGTAAACTGACTGAAAGAAGGAAACACAAACTCAGGTCAATGAAAGAAAATCTGCAATCTTAAAAACAGCAAAAAGCAAAAAAATCCACATTAAGACAGGGTAAAGTATTAAGGAAAGCTCTATCCTACAAACAAGAACATATCACTTACCAAAATTCCTTCCATTCTCTTAAAGCATTATTAATATTTTAAAAAGCTGAAGAGAAACCAGAGGATCATCCCCTCAAAACTTGAGTTTATTTATGTAAATATCAAACATGTCAGCTTCTACATCAGGGTTTCATGAGGATCCAGTAAGGGAAGCTGGAAAAATATTGCTCACCACTAGATGTCATCTTAGGGTGAGAATTTGGAGTTTGCCAAATATATATCACTGAAAAGCTGGGGTTGGGTGGGGGCAGTAAAACGTGGGGTAAATTTGCTATAAAATGAGCATGGCCTTGTTGAAATTTGGAAATGCCTTGCATGAGTCAAAGGTATCAAACCACCAACTTGTAAAATGTCTTTTAACTCCTCCAGATCTTTTTTTAACACCTAAGATTCCCTCTGCCTGCCACCTTGCCCAAATGCATTATTTCACAGTGACATTCACCCTTCCAGAGATGCAGTAGAAACCTTGCCAGATGCATTCCCTGTTTTTAATGTTGTTTCCCATTATCAGCTGAGAGGAAACAAACTCCTGCATAGGAGTGTAATGAAAATTTTCAGGTTATGTAATTTAATCCCAGCAAAATAAGAAGAAACAGCACAGAACAGGCACAGAAGCAGTGACTAGAGGAGTTTTTCCCTATGGATATTTACCAAGCAGATGGAATTTAGCTGGGATCATTCTTACCCACTATTTGGCCTCGGACAGCATCGGTGTCTGTGGGGTTGAGTTTGCATAGATCCAAACGCTGGTCTGCAAAGGAAAATTGGAAAAATCAACCCTGGGAAGGGCTGGGTGGGAAGACTTATCCACTACTCAAAGTACAAGGCATGGAGGGTTCTTGGTCACACCAGGGAGGAATTACTCTTACATCCAGTATCTTTCAGCCTGCTGATGGCATTGGAGAGAAGACGGACACACCCCAGGAAGCCAGCTCCCTGTTTCTTATGGATTTTTTTATGGTTCCATACACTGATGGTTATGGAATCTGTTTTCCCAACGTATCTAGAAAGATACATATTAAAAGAGTAATTTTAGAAATAATAACCTCTTTTTACTCCACAGAACTGATGCTGTAATTGGTACAAATTCTGACACATTTTAGTACATCGGTCATGCCTCTTTATTATAAACACACAAGTGCTTATGCCCAAAATGCTGTTATTAATGAGTTACTGCACAGTGATTTCACACAGCATGGGAAATTGATATTGCTGCAGCATGAATTTAACTACAGCCAGCCTCATTAAAAGCTAAACAACAAGTCGATTAACGTACAAAACTTCAGAATTTATGCTTCTAATAATTTGAAGAAAATAAATCATTCCAACAAGGGCAATTTTCTGCAAAAGCTGGATGGCACTGCTCCAGGAGAGCTCACTAAGCCCTTGTGCTGTGTACCTGCCACACAAATATCTCTAAATTCGAACACTTAAAAGCAAAGTACCACTCCTTTATTAAGAAGGACTTTCTTCTTGAAAAAAAATAAGTCACTGAGAGGGCAGGGTTAGATGGGATATTGGGAGGAAATTCTTCCCTGTCTGGGGAGGTCCTGGCACAGGCTGCCCAGAGAAGCTGAGGCTGTCCCACCCCTGGAAGTGTCCAAGGCCAGGTTGGGAGCAACTTGATCCAGTGAAAGGTGTCCCTGCCCAAGGCAGGGGGTGGAACTGGGTGGTCTTTAAGGTCCTTTCCAACCAAATTGTTTTGAGATTCTATGAAATGTGACTCTTCTTGCTAACACCAAATGAAGTTGCAGTGCCAACACTGCACTATTTATTTACTAGACAAATCTCTGGAATACTGTTTACTTATGACCTTACAACCAACTCACAGATCGTAATGCTGATTCCATTTGGGGTCCAACGTGTTCTTCACAGTGTCAGTGGAATGGCACTGACCTGACCCATCCACAACTATTTTAGCAAATGGGTCAGGAAGTCCTGTGGAAAGGAAAAAGTGCTGTTAAACACAGTTCTTTGCTTTGCTGCTTCCATTAGAAGTTCCCCATCAAGAAAGGACAGCTGTCATTATCCTGAAAGTATTTTAGTAAATCCTGTGTTTGAGATGGAGGCTCTTGGTACCCCCCAGAACAGAGCTGTGAGCAGCAGCTGCCTGTGGTTCCATCACTCAGACTTTCAGCTGGAATTTGTGAGCCCTCAGTGTTTCCAGCCCTGAAGTCCACACAATCTACAACCCAGAGTAACATGTACTCCCGGTAGTAATGCTGTGCAAAAGACACACAGATGAGCCTCCACAATAATGCACCATCTCCAAATAAATCTGATTAATCCAGAGCAGAAAGCTACACAATTAGGACATACTTACTGAAGAAATCTTTCTTTGCGAGATTCTTGGCACATAATACTGCAAAACAAAAAAAGGAGATAAAGAGCTAAAATAATACCTGATAATAATTCATAAAAAACCCCACCTAAATATTAACTGTAACCATTGTTTTCTTTATCTGGGATTGGAATATTTACATATAAATTTGGCTTTATATTTGCTACTTTAATTCTATTGTTATAACACACAGAAGATTTAATTAACATCCCTTTGCATTAAAACCTCCTAATTTTCTTTACTTCATGTTTACACAAATGCTAAATCAGATTTTTGTTGATGTTTCAGAACCCATCCATTTTTAGAACAGGGGCTAAACATTTTCTGAACAAAGAACAGAATTCTGGATTCTGGGATTCCTGGAAGAGACCTTTTCATTAAGTCCCATCAAATGCAAGTGAAACCTCCTGCTCCTTACACACAAAGTGTGACTACAAGGGGAGACAAAGCATGGCAGGAATTCTGCAACAGAAGAAGCAATCTGTAAATACACAAAGGTTTGGGGATAAGTATGACAGGGCTTCATTTAGAAGAAAAATAAATACACTGAAAAAAAATCTGCATTAAGATGTTTTCCTTTGAAAGGGCCACAAATGAGACATCGTTTCCCTCTCTCCAATTCCACTCACCAGCACAGCAGTTTAAGAAAAAATTAGATCAGGAAACTCCCATCAATCTCCATTTCTACCAGGCCTATTACCAGCTACAAGTCTCATTTTGCTTTTCCATAAGGACTGCTCAGTAGGATCTCAGCAATCCAAGTTGTTTAGTATCCATTAAATTCTTCTAACAGGCCAGGAAAAACAACTCCAGAGCCAAAGAGGAAAATATTAGAGCTCTAACTTATCTCAAACTAAGATCCAAGAAAGGAAGGTAACTATAAAAGACCTAATTACTGCTGAGGGAGTCTCTTTCCCCAGTGGGAAAAAAAATCTTTCAGCATGAGAATGAAGGCTCAGAAGATAATCAATGGCCAATTCCCCAGGTATGGACCATTTCCCCTTCTCATCTCCATCTCCCTTTCTTCCTGACTTACCCTCAGTCTCACTGTAATTCTATACTGGGGAAAGGGAAGGTGCAAAGGAACAAATACTTTATTTATTTATTTTTATATACTTCTACTAGAATTCCACCTCTCAGTTCCAGAGAAACATTCCCTATGTAACACAGGCAGCAGAGAAAAAACTGCCTCACGTGTCAAGCAAACAGACCAAAGAAATCCACTATTTAACCCAGAAGCTCATGAAAAAAACAAACAACGCAAATCCTCTCTCTTAGTAATAATTAAAGCAGGCACACTAGGAAAGTATTTTTAGAATGGATTACAAATTACTTATTTCTTACACTGGGAAACTGTATAAACAGAGAAAGATTCTCTTGTATTTTTTTTTAAAACAACTGACCAAAAAGAGAAGTGTGCAGGACTATGGCAATTCAATTTGAAACAAAGGATTAGAGAATTACCATCCGCTGCTCTGTGGAAGCACAACAGAGCAACTTTTAATTTCCTTTTCCTGCCGTGTTTCTGAGGAAAAACTTCTCAAGAAAGAGAGACTAAGTACAAATCAGAACTTGAGCATGCTAGTACCAGCCAAAAGCAATCCTGAAGTTCTTGTGAGATTTTAAAAATCAAATAACTTTACTTTGCCATCCCCAGTTTTAAGAATAATTTATTGAGCTGGAGAAGGATGACATCTGTAACTTTCTGCATATGGTCTGTCCATGTAATTACTACCTTTATTCTATATTTCAGGTGTGCTTTCAAAATAGCTGCATAAATTTCTAAAGCTATTATTGAAGAATTATATTTTTCATTTAACTCTGTTCCCTCTGCCCCAGCCTTTCAGTCTACAGTAGATGAGCACAGCTGCCAATTTTCCACTCGTAGCCTGTGAAACCCTCAATTTTCGGTTGCAAAAATTATTACTCTTTCTTGTAAGAAAAATATTGGCACAAAAGCTAATAGCTGAAATAAACCTTTATGGAGCAATCTTCAGAATCAGGCTGCCCGAGATGGACCATTGGCTCTGTTCCACTATTTGCATGTTAAACCCACTAGAGCAAAAAATATTTGCAAGAGCTGTATCACTTAAAAGCCACAGATTTCTAAATTCCAGTAAAAAAACAGGTGGCAAAGGTCAGCAACGGGAGACTTGGATGCAAAATCATGCCAGCAGCAGAGCAGCCAGCCCCTCCCTGCTGTGCAAAGCTGGGACTGTGCCACATTTCCTTCTTAAACACATCTCTTCAACAGGAGAGGACCTGATGGCTGCTGCTTCAAGCCCCAAATTCATGGACTTGGGTAGGTTTAACTACAAAGGCTTAAAAAGTTATTAATTTTATCCCTGGTTCAGAGGGGGTTTAGGAGATGAGACAGACTCTAAGCTCTTTGCCCAGGCCTTGCCCAAATCCCCTCTTTGCCCATTTTCCAAAGTGTTTTTTCCTTTAGTTTTTCTTTCTTTTAAACAAGAAAGGCTCTGGGCTTGTCAGCAGGAGTGATCTCCCTGTATTTGTTGCAACATTACGAAAAGTTCTAATTCTCCTGACTTGGGTATTTACGTTCTGCCTCCTCAAAGTCAACCAACTTGTTTCAGCCTGACACAGGATTTGTTTATGCTCCACTCCTGATTGTTGCACAGCTCTGAAGAACTTCTTTTTTTAATACAACAGATCCCAAACAACACCGAAACAATGTCTTTACATCTAGATTATAATATTTATAAAGGGATGGGAATGTTTTTTTAAGTACCCGACATTATTGAGATAATTTCAAAGGCCAAATTAGCCAGCTGGGTGAAGTGCTAGTGTGAAAGCATATTTGGCAGGAGGTGAAGAGAGGACGAGCCTTAGACAAAGTCAGTATTCACCCTGGGGGTGTAACCTGAGCGAGCTGAGAGATTCCTCTGCCAGGCCCTGGTTGTCCACCCTGCCTCCAAACAGAAATGAATCATCTGCTGTGGTTCAGGAGGTGCTGCAGGAGCAGGACTGGTACAGTGAGGAGAGCACGGAGTGGCACCAGTGTCTGAACAACCCAGCTGAGAATTGCATCAGCAAGCTGCTAATTCACCCTGAGACACCATCCTGCAGCAAGGGCAGCACTTGCAGAGAGGCACAGAAAAACAGTCTGGGAGAGGAATCATTTCAAACATTCCCAGGTAAACAGAGCCTGACTGCATCAGCACCAGAGTTATTCCATACACCACAGAATGTCTCTGGAAGGGACCCATAAGGATCACAGAGTCCAACTCCCAACACACCCCATCCCATTGCACACTGCTAAGATGTTACAAGTGTTTCCAGCTGTACAGTGTACAAACGACACAGTTTCCTGGGGGGAAAAAGTAAAGTAAATAACGCAAGTGATGAAAATATTCCATAGGCCCAGCCTCTACCAATGCAAAACAGCAGGCAAATGTGCACCTGGGACTCCATTCACTCACACTTTGCAAGTTAAAGGTAGGAGCCTCCATGCTCAAATTAAGGACCTTTACATGTGGATATGATCTGAGCTAACCACTGCCTTCAATTTAGTATCCAAGTTAATTTTGGAGACAAGACAAGACAAACCAGCAGTATGTCCACATCTTCCTTAGAAAAGGTGGGTGGGGGAAGTCACAGTGAACTATGCTGGCAAACATCCCTTTCAGCCATCTCTGGCCTTCCCGTGGATATTCCAGGTTAATTATTTATGCTTGTACAAACAGGCAGCCAGATTCCAGGATACATTCGTTTTACTTTGTGACAGAAGATAAACACAGGCCAGCAGGCTGATGGCGCAGAAAGGACTTCACTTAATATTTCCTTATGTATAGACCATCTTTAATCACAAAGATATGAAGCACAATCATTACAAGCACCACAGGCTGGTTGGTTTGTTCTAAGATAGAAGCAAAGAAGAACAATGAGGCTTTGGAACAGAAAGTAATAAAGATCTTGACACAAAATTAAACTAAAGTTACTGCACACAACTGGAAAATGAAAAAGGCTGCAAAGCAAGTCAAATTTGAGGTATCCAAGTAATGGAAATATCTCTGCTAATGCTTCAAAGTCTGCGTAGGTTTTGACTTGTGAACTTGGTGGCCTGTGTTGGAGGACAGCCCCCTGTGTTTGCCAACTCACAGCCTGGTTTCCACAGCAGAAATCCCACCATTCTGAAAAACAGTTTTGGGAAGGCTGCATGGCAAAAATAATGTACATGAAGTGGAAAAAAATCCTCCCCCAAAAAAGAAGAAAAAAAAAGCAAACATCAGCTATTTACCACATGCTGCTCCAACACCCCACAGCTCATGGCCCACAATTAAAATCTTTGCTGAACCTCTTATGTGAAATCATGTCTTGTCCAAACAGTTCCGTGGATTTTGTGGAAAATACTCTGAATACCACAAGCCACCTCTTCTGAACAGCCCTGAGGAATGACTGTGCTTACAGTTGTGTTTTCTGCACATAACCTTAAATGAGACTTCACTGCAGAAAAGGTCTGGTTTTATTTCTACTACCAATCCGTGAAGGTTTTACGTGTCTGTTTTTTTTAAGGATGACAATCATTTATATGTGGTGGGGTACAAAAAATGGTTTTATGGGAAAGGAAAGATGGCTGAAGTGTGTAAAAATGCAGTTTCTCTAAGGCTAGCCACATCACTGAACTGAAATACACCGCTTTATTCACAAATTGCACTTTAAATTGTCACCACAAAGGCCAAGGTTTCTATTCTAGACATTTTTTTGTTTGCTTTAGGAATACTTTTGGTCTTCCTCTTCAACTGCTTGAGACTGAAATGCATAAATCCAGACTGCTTTAACTTCTCAGTAACCGAACCCGAACCGCTGCAGTGCCTGCGAGCATGAAGAGATAAACAAACCCACAGCCTTCCCTTACTTTTGCCAAATAAGCCAATTAGCTGTATGGAACTAATTTCATCCTGACATGCACCCTGAGTGGCCTTCACTAACGACCTCAGCATTGTGGTGCCAATGAGATTTGCAATCTGAGACACAATCCAACCAAAAACCCCTGAGACCCC